TTGGTGGTGTCCTTTCCTGGCTTTGGTATCAAGGATATGTTTGCTTCATAGAATGAGTCTGGGAGTGTTCCATCTTGTTCTATTTTTTGAAATAGTTTATAGAGAATTGATGACAGTTCTTCTCTAAATGTCTGAAATGGATTCTTTTCTGTAACTCTTGTAAGTGTATACATCAACTTCTGAAGTCTTTTGGGTAGTTTAATTGACACTCAGTTTGGTCGAATGCATTGGTTAATAGTTGATTTGCTTAAGATCTTTCTCATTACTTGCATTACAGTGGAAGAAGTAGGAAAAGCCTTTTTTTTTAAATTTTTGTGTTTGAAGAGACAGCTGTTTCTTGCATAATTTGTCCTGTGGTTTCCTACAGAATCAACAAGAAGTAAACAGTAAGGAAAGACCATGGGGAAGTAGACCACAAAGGGAAATTTTTCAACAAAGCGCTTAAATTCTTCTCTGTTGTTGACTTTATCCTGAACTCAGGAGGGAAGGATTCAGTAAATACAAACTAAGAACTGTGTAGAGTCTTAAGGATTGCCTGAATGCCTACGATTGTAAACACTAAAGGATTACCTTAGTGGTACAGCGTGAATTCTACCTTGTGTCAACCTTCCTCTTACCCAAACATAACATCTGATTTATTATCAGTATTAAAGTTGGTATTTTGCATCCCACATCTCCCCTTTTTTGTATAAATCATAATTTTGTGGTCATCAAGACTAGCACGATTTCTTCAGGATTCATTCTTGCTTGTTTCCTGTCCTTTTCATCCTTTATGGACAATACAATAAATATAGCCCATTAAGCAAAATAAGTTCACAAGATACTTCCAAAATTTTCTGTGCAGTCAGAAGAATTCAGGTTGAATATTCCTTGAGTCTGTTTTCATGGTCATATACCTCGCATTCCATTCCTTAAGGGTCGGTTTCTATTGGTATAGCACCACAGTCCTTCTCAAAACTTGTTTTGACCAATCGCTGGCTTCCGACAGTACTATGTGATGTTTTGTGGGTACTTTCTGTTCCTGTGTGTGGTGTGTCCTGTGTGTACTCTGTCCTATTGTGTGTGTTTTGTGTGATAGGTGAGTACTCAGTGACTTTGTGTGAGTACTCTGAGATGTTGTGTGTCTGCTCTGTGAAGTACTCTCTGATGTGGTGTGTTTTCTCTGTGCTTTTCTGTGTACTGTGTGGTGTATGTGTACTCTATGATGTGACAGGTGTCCTTTGTGCATCATTTTCAGTTTACCGACCTCGAGGAAAGCAAATGATGTCATGGTTCCTTTCGTTTTTCCAGTAACTGTTTCTCCTTTATTGGTTTATATCCTTTGTGAATATCCTGAATCTGATAGACTTACATTACTGTTTTTTTTTACAGAAGTCTGTCCTCTGTGACTTCCTTTGTTTTGGGACTTATATTGTCATACTTGGATTTTGGCAGGTATTCAAAACTTTAGTGATCG